GTGTCCACATGTGCCTTGCTGTGGATTTATCTGCTGCTGGGGACAACAAGTTAACCAGGAGCCAGGAAATGTGTCCTTGCTGCCAAGAAGGCCAATGGGCTTCTGGGGGGCATTACCAAGAGTGTGTCCAGCAGGTCAGGGACACACTCTCCTGCCCCTCTGTTGAGGCCACAGCTGGAGAACTGGATCCAGTTCTGGGCTCCCCAGTTCAAAAGAGACAGGGAACTACTGGAGAGAGTCCAGCAGAAGGTCACAGGGATGCTGAGGGGCTGGAGCATCTGCCCTGTGAGGAAAGGCTGAGGGACCTGGGGCTGTTCAGTCTGGAGAAGAGAAGACAGAGGGGATCTATCAATGCTTGGAAATATCTCCAGGGGGTGTCAGGAGGATGAGGCCACACTCTTCTCAGTGGTGCCCAGTGAGAGGACGAGGGGCAAAGGGGCACAAACTGGAACCCAGGAAGTTCCATCTGAACATGAGGAAACCTTCTGGACTTTTGAGGGTGGCAGAGCCCTGGGACAGGCTGCCCAGAGAGGCTGTGGAGTCTCTGTCTCTGGAGACATCCCAAACCCACCTGGGTACCACCCTGTGCTACCTGGGTTGGACTGGATGATCTCCAGAGGTCCCTTCCAACCCCACCATGCTGGGATTCTGGGATTCACTTCCTATCGTGCTGCTCCATGAACCCAAACCGGCCACGGGAATGGGAGAGGCTGAGAACATGGGGATGGGCTGAGGCTGCAAACGAAGGAAGCAGAGAGCAAAGCATGGAGTGAAGAGCAGCAAGTGGTGGAGAAAGAGGGGAGGGGGCAGGAGGAAGAGCTAGAAAAGACTTGGTTTTCCTCAACTCTGCGGCCCATTGAATGACCCTGGTGGGCTCCTGCTGCCTGCACCACCCGGGACGTGGGAGCTCATGGGGAGCTGAAGGTGTCTGATTACAGCAGGGCTTGGTCTACCAGCCTGATGCAGACCTGGCTGCCTCAACCTCCCCCTTCACCCAGAGCCCCCAGACACGACCCACCTCTCTAGCATGGGGCACTCAGGTGGCAAAGCCCCCCCAGGGCAGGATCCAGTTTGATTTATCGGATGATCCTGCTGAGCCAGGGCTCAGGAGCAGCCTCTCCAACACAAACCCCAACAGCCACTTCTCCCCTTCCATCCTGGAAGAGCTGGAAGTTACTCTTTTTCCTGGCTTACTGACCCTCTCCTTTGCCTGGGGCTGCCACCTCCATCCCTGCTGGAAAGGGGCTGCCAGGAGGGGGGTTGGTCCTACACTCCCATCTCCATCGGGCTGGTCCACCAGGAGCAGGCACCGGCAGCAGAAACCTCTGAGCACACACCAGCCTCTGACCCCCCCACCCCCAGGGACACAGAAAACCACACATCAGGCCTTCAAAACAAATCACAACAGCTCTGACCTTATTTGCACCGGATCCTCTGAAGCCAATTGCAAAAGAGAAGCAGAGAGTGAGGAGTTCAGGAGAGCAAATCCCCAGCCTTGCCCAGAGAGAAGGTCCCTACCAGGGTGACCCCCCCAGGAGGCTTCAGCTTGGGCAGGAGAAGCCACCCCCGAGATTTTCTCCTGGGGGGAACAGCTTGTTGGTGATTTGTCCTGGGAGGTCCCACCAACACTGGCACCTGCTGGATGTGAGAGAGGCCGAAGCGACCCAGGAGCCCAGAGCCCTCACCTCCTGCCCAGGGAGCCAGGGGCATTTTGGGGGGGGGCTTTTCCCATTTTCCTCCTCGGCAGGGACTCCCTGGAAGGCCCTTCTCAGCCTCATCTGTTCCTCTTGCCTCTCAGGGAGGCTGAGGAGCCTGAGGGATGTGGGTGAAGGTCTCCAAGACTGGTCACAGAGAAGAGAAAGAGCAAAGAAGAGCAGGGGCTGGTGCTGAGCTGCCCTTCCTGGCTCGGGAAGAGGGGCCACCACTAACGATGCCCTGGGACAACAACATTCAAAGCAACAACAGCGAGACCACGTCAGGGCACCCAATCCTTCATTTCTGCTTCCTGAAATGAACAGGGGATGGATGAGCATGGAGCTGGAGCCACCAGCCTCTGGGGGGCTGAAGCAAACCGGGGGTGAAAGGTCCTGCCCTCTGCCCAGCCCCGTTGCTGAGGGATCATCCTGCAGCAACGGGTGGGCTTTGCTATGGGAACAGGGAGAGAAGAGTCCTACAGCCCCTGAGAGGTCACCAGTGAGGTTCTGAGGGGCTTCTGAGCCCGTGGGGAATGAGAAGAGCCTGGTGATTCTCTCCTAACGCCCCCTTGGCACCACTGCCCCTTCCAGCTGGGATCCCAAAGTCCCATCACAACTCCCTCTGTGACCCCAGGACTGAGGCTGGAACCTGCTCAGCAATCAGGGTGTCCCAGGCCTCAGCTGGGATGAAAAGTCACGTTTCTGGGGCTGTTTCTGAACCTCTGCATCAGCCCTCGGGCCCCAGCAGGGGCAGGGGAACAGGAGGGGACCCAGCAGCATTCCCAGCTTCTGAGAGTCAAACTGGGACAGCTCAAATGGGCAGGAATTAATCTAGATTTTAATTATGCTGCTTCTGTTAATCCCCAAACAAATATTACTCCATTAATCAAAATGTTGTTCTTTAATTGTCCTTGGTGGAGCAGGTGCAGTGATTTCCCCCTGCTCTGACACTCCCAAATCCAGCACCTGCCTGGGGCCTCTCCAGGCTTCCCAGGAGCTGCTCGGGGAGGGGCTGGTCCCTTTGGGCCCAGCTTTGGGACACACCAGTTAGTGAGGAGGGAGACACCAAAGCAGGGACTGTGCAAGTGATGCCAGGGGAGAACCTGCACTGAAGGGCAGAGCTGCCTGCGGAGAGGGGGATGTTGGTCCCACCTGCTGGGATGGATGGATGGGACTTGGGATGTTGTCCTGCCTGGAAAAATAAATGTGGAAGGACATTGCCCCTGTTGGCTTCCTCACAGAGAGACTTCCAGCCTTTTCATAGACTCAGTCTGGTTTGGGTTGAAGGGAGCTTAAAGATCATCTAGATCCAACCCCTGCATGGGCAGGGACACCTCCCAGCAGCCCAGGCTGCTCCAAGCCCCATCCAACCTGCCCTTCAACACCCCCAGGGATGGGGCAGCCCTGGGCAACCTGGGCCAGGCTCTCACCACCCTCACACCAAAGAATTTCCTCCTTATGGGCTGGTCCCTTTGGGCCCAGCTTTGGGACACACCAGTTAGTGAGGAGGGAGACACCAAAGCAGGGACTGTGCAAGTGATGCCAGGGGAGAACCTGCACTGAAGGGCAGAGCTGCCTGTGGAGAGGGGGATGTTGGTCCCACCTGCTGGGATGGATGGATGGATGGGACTTGGGATGTTGTCCTGCCTGGAAAAATAAATGTGGAAGGACATTGCCCCTGTTGGCTTCCTCACAGAGAGACTTCCAGCCTTTTCATAGACTCAGTCTGGTTTGGGTTGAAGGGAGCTTAAAGATCATCTAGATCCAACCCCTGCATGGGCAGGGACACCTCCCAGCAGCCCAGGCTGCTCCAAGCCCCATCCAACCTGCCCTTCAACACCCCCAGGGATGGGGCAGCCACAGCTTCCCTGGGCAACCTGGGCCAGGCTCTCCCCACCCTCACAGCCCAGAATTTCTCCCTCCCATCTCAGCTCCAGCTCCCTCTGCCAGCTGGAAACCCTTCCCCCTGCTCCCATCCCTCCCTGCCCTTGTCCCAAGCCCATCCCCAGCTTTCCTGGAGCCCCTTCAGGCACTGGAAGCTGCTCTCAGCTCTCCCTGGAGCCTTCTCTTCTCCAGGCTCAACACCCCAACTCTCCCAGCCTGGCTCCATTTCCCAGCAGCCTGTTCCCTAACACTGAGGATAAGGAACCACCTCTAACTGTGCCAAGGAGAAGGTGCAGAACAGAGAGATGAAATGACTTGACCACGGTCCCCAGCAGCTCCTCAGCAGGGCAGGGACTTCCTGGTGGCCCCATCACAGCCCTTCCACTGCCCACTTCAGCACCGAGACCCCTGCACTGAGGGCCTGCAATGCTCCAAGCCCCAGACCCCCCTCACCCTGGCTCTCACCAAACACCCAAAGGGACACAGGTTTGAGGATCTCCAACGTGGTGCCCAGGGAAGAAAGGCACCCAGGGCCACCCAAGGACCACGATGCTCTGCTTGGGGCACAGAACGAAGGGTTCTGAGCTCAGGTTGGCTGCTGGAGCCCCCAGCAGCACCCCAGGGAGGCCAGACAGGGCTCATGCTTCTATGGAGCCTCTCCTTCCCTAATCCCAGCAGCAGAGGAGAGGGATCCAGGAGGGATTATGGGATGGGGATGATGACCAGCCCCTTGGGTCCTGTCACACACACTCCAAAGTGCCATCACTCCCTGGCTCTCACTACTGAAAGGGACCAAGGCAAAGCCAGTAACCCAGCAACAAGAAGCTCCAGCTCCCTCCTCTTCTCCTTATTCTCATTCTTCCTCAGCCAAATCCCACCCACGCCTCACTTCCTACCAACACCAAGGTCCAGAGTCACCCCAAAACACAAAACCCCTGCATCCTGAGTTGTGCCACCTCCTCACACCCTCGGGCAGCACCAGCTGCCACCCCACAGCTCCCACCCATCGTGGCTCCTTTGCAATTTGCTTGTGAAGACCCCAGAGAAGTCAAGGCTCCAAATAAGGTCAGTGTTTGATTGGTTGTGTTACCTTTGTCCTCACGGGTCCATCACCCAATGACTGATTTAGTGACAACCTACTGGCCAGGAGGTCTGGTTTGCTCAGCTCTGGTTAACCAACAGCACCACCCTGGCTTCTGCCCCCACTGAGTTGGCAAAGATGGGAATGGACCGTGGAGCTCTCCTTAGAGGGTCCACAGGCACAGGGAGAGCAGTGGAAGGAACACAAACAAGTGGGTAAGAAATTAAATCAAGGCCCCCAGAGGAAAGGGCACAAGGAACCTTAGGAGGAAGAGCACCCGAGCAAGCAGCAGCTCTGACCCAGCAGGCAAGAGGGAGCTAGAAAAGAAACAGCAAATATACCCAAAGCTCTCAGTGCGACAGCGAACTCCAGAGGTGACATCAGGAGGGGGCAGATCAGGGATGGAGTCCATCTGGAGGAAATAAGAGGAGGTGGTGTGATGGTAATAGATAGGGTGGACATGGCAAGCAGGAGCAGATGCAGTGGTGCTGGATGAGGAGCAAAAGGTGGAAGAGGTGGCGGTGGCAGCAGATGATGGGCTGGTGCCAGGAAGGTCAAAACTGAAAGAGTATCCAGAGGAGAGGTTGTGCTTTCGACGGAGAGAGACTCTGCCTGCCCGGGGCGGGGCAGCCGGGCCCGGCTCACTCTGCCCTTGCATGGAACCCTCTACCAACCTCTGGGATCCGTGGCCGTGCGGAGGGTCCACCAGGCGCTGGCGAACGGTGCTGGGCAGGGCAGGAGCTGCAGGGAGAGAAGGGGAGAAGGTTGGAGGTGGCTGGAAAAGAGACTGCGGGTCCCCTGGGCGAGGAGGTGCC